TGAGGCCCTGCACAGCTTTTCTTGACATCTTTAAATCCCCATTCTCTTATTTTATTTTTTTAAGGTTTTATTTATTTATTTGAGAGAGAGAGAGAGAGTTCACAGAGGGGCGAGGAGGACGAGGGAGAAGACTCCCCACTGAGCAAGGAGCCCGATTCTGCACTCATTCCCAGGACCCTGGGATCATGACCTGAGCAAAGACAGAAGCTTCTCGACTGAGGCACCCAGGCACCCCCATTCTCTCATTTTAAAGATGAGGTAAAAAGAATACTTACTTTAGAGCGATTATTCATATATAAATGCTTTCAACTTCATGTTCATTGAAATACAATTCAAATATTTGCATTTAACATTCCACAGAATATGTAAATAATCCCAGAAAGTTCTTGACACAGAGTTCAGACTTACGAACCCAGCAAAGAATACCTAAGAATTACTGGGGATTCCAAGTCTAACATGTCTCAGGCAAGCCGAGGATGGTGGCAAGATTTGAGTCATGGTCTTAAGTGACAACACCTACCCCTGCAAACAAGGTGCAAGACAGCTGAGAAGGCTTCACTGTTGGCTCAGCTCATGATCCCAGGGTCCTGGTATCAAGCCCTGTGTCAGGCTTCCTGTTTGGCGGGAAGCCCACCTCTCCCTCTCCCACAACCCCTGCTATTCCCTCTCTTGCTGTGTCTCTCTGTCAAATAAATAAATAAAATCTTAAAAAAAAACAACTAAGTTGTGGCAAAAGCAGCAGGTAGGTCTAAGAGATGAGAATGGACACTGTACACTGAATTTGGCAGTGAGGACATCATGAGTGACCAGTGCCTGTGCAGCCTCTGTAGAGGTTTGGTGGATGCTGAGGAGGCCAACCCCGATTTCTGTGAGTGAAGGATGAAATGGAAGCTGAGGAAGTTAAGACAACCATCCTTGATTATGCTTTTGAGAAATTTAAGAGAAAGACCAGTTGGGAACTAAAAAGTGATTGAAGGGGTCATGGAAATCTTGAGAGAATACAAGCAAACCTGTGCAGGTTTCTAGCCTGAGTGGGAGGATCCACAGAAAGGAAGAGGTCAAAAATTGAAGGGAGAGAGGGAGGAAAGTGTGAGTGTACTGGAACTGGGGAAGAGCAATCATGTGTGCCCTGAGGTTATTAAACATCAGTAATTGCTTGTGGTCGGCCATACCTGCAGGTCTCCTGGGTTCATCTGACCAACATGTTCACAGAAGTCTTCATGGGCCATGCTGCCGCCCTCCAGGAGGTAAGACACCTTTGACAAGACAAGCGTTAGAAAAAGTATGTGTTCGGCAGCTCTGAAGAATTGCTCACTTTTCACAGAAAATGTGTGAGGAAAGTGTCAGGAGCGACTAAGTAGCACAAGCTGAGGGAATGAACCTCCAGTGAGAGTGCCGTGTTAACCCATACAATGTTTCTGAGAGAATTCCAAATAGAAGCCCCTTCTTCCTTGTAGATGCAGCCCTGAGCATATCAGTGCTCACGGCCCGGCGACAGAAGACCTCACTTGTCCCCTCAGTCTACCATGACGGGTCCTAGAGCTCTGGGTGAAAAAGGCGGCTCCCTCTGAAACAGCAGGGCCGTGTTACCAAGGCCAATGTCAGCCAGGTGTGTCAGGTGACAGATTTCAGGTCTCCACACCTTCCCCTATAAGCTGATTCAAGAAATCCAAAGGCAATGGCCTTTACAACAGCAGACACACAAACTCACTTAGGTGCTCCATAAACACAAGTAAAATGTCAAATGAATCCCTAGAATTAAAGTCAGCTTTTCCAGGGCCGTGTCTGTACCCGTTGTGTTGTGTTGACAACACAACAAATCCTGTGTTGTCCTACAGAGTAGCCACTAGCTGCGTGTGGCTATTTAAGCTTAATTAAAGTGAAATAACAAAAAAAATTCGGCTCTGCAGTTGCGCTAGCCACATTTCAAGTGACAAACCCCTGGTTCTCCCCAGGGGTTTTTAGGGAATCAGCCTGCCCACAGAAAGCAAGTCCCTCTGGGAGGGGCCAGCCCCCATGGCAGTGGCCTTCACGGGTCTGGCATAGCCAGTGAGAGCTGAATAAAGTCTGCCTAAGTCTTGCTCACACACAGTCTTTGGAAGCTCGGCTGCATGCAGACAGAAGCCACATTCTCCAAGATCAGCTTTCTCAGAAATAAGATATTTTTTTGCGTCTGCCATCTCTCTTACTCTGTCATCTTCTCAACTGGCTCAGAATTCATGCTGAGAAAATAAGCTGCCATTTACTCTGCCTCCTCATACCCCAAACAAAGGGCAGTTCAAGACCTGCCTATAGTCAAGCTGTTGCAATCTTATACTGTAGCCTTATAATAAACGGTCTTCTTCCGGAGCCAACTTTATTGGATGCCAGATCCGGAAACCAAAGACTTATACAGAACACTTACGACCATAGAAATCAGGGCTGGCTCACATTAGGACCCTCCACGTGTCATCTTGCCAAACAATGACATTGTACAGAATGGTCTCGGCAGCAACACTTATCCCAGCAGGTGACCGGCAGATGGCTATGGAAATTGGAGTTTCTAGGTTGGGATGGTGCCTTTCATGTGTCACCTTGATTGGGCTAAGGGATGCCCAGATACATGGTAAAATGGAACTTGCTATAGTAATGGCAGCCGTACAACACTGGCACAGGAAGAAAAGAGACCCATTTGCATGTGGAATTTACATATGACGACAGCAATTCCAGATTAGTGGGGCAAGGATGCCTTTTCTGATAAATGGTATCAGAACACAACTGACTGACCATATGAGTAAAGAGAGTAAGCCCCCATTATAGTGTTACAAATGGATAAAGACTTAAAAACACGCTTCTGAGATTTAAATCTATGGAGACAAGAATACAAAATGTCAGCAAAAATCTATCTTTGCAGTGTTTATTATGATAGTAAAAAGATGGGAACAATTGGATGATGGGTCTACTAGGGTAAACTCACCTAATTATGGTACAGCCATACAAGAGAATAGTATACAACTGTTAAAAAGAGATGTAGATCTCTATTCACTGACAAGGATAAATAAGATACTATTTAATCAAAAAAAGCAGGTTACTGAACAGCAATTTTATTTAAAGAGGTCACATACAGTGACATGTTTAAATGGGTTCATTTAAATAAAATTGTAGCTCATCATTAGTGTGCATGGAAATGCCCGGATGAACACACCCAAATGTGGACAGTGGTCACCCCCAGATGGTGGGAATTGCAGGTACGTTTTATTATATCCTCTTTCCACTTTCCTGAGAGTTTGGGCCTTCTGCAATGAGTAGTTTACTTTTTTACAACGGAAACAACTTTATCTCACAAAGATATAAAGATGCTACCGCGAATCGGTGAATGAAAAGAAGTGATACGCTTTATTCTGCAGAGATGCTGGCATTTGTTCCCTCTTTAGGGGACCTGGGGCTGGCGAGGAAGGCCATGAGACAGAAGGGAAAATACAAAGAACCGGAAGAATGGCGCCATACTGTGTGAGACGACAATGTAGCTGGCTCTGACTTTAAGATGCTGCTAGGAAGAAAAGACCTAAAATTACTGTGAAGCCAAAATAGGAATGAAGCACTTAGGACCTCATACAAAGCTTAAAAATCGAAGAGAACAAATAAAAAGCTTCCAAATCTCAAACAACCAGTCAAACTAGAAGGAGCAGTGTCTAGAATTGCTTTCCTTTTCCTGTTATGCACGCATTTTGAATTAAAATAGCTGCATAATAAAGGCAATTTTCATTCTGTTTGGGCTGAAGCTTTGGGTTCTCAAAAGGAGTCTCTTTCAAATCTTATTCCTTCCATCCCCAAAGTCCTTTCAATTATCCAAAACTAGGGCCTTTCAAGTTGTTAATCATCTAAAAATATGGCAGGCAACTTTAAAAAGTAAATTGCGGTGAGCATGACTCATTTAAAGATGAAAACTTACGCAGACACCAAGAGGTTTTGCGCGCGCCTGTGTTACAAGTTTTATTTTAGAAAGCAATGTCAACGCTGTTTCTAAAACACAGAAGACGCTTATCTCCACTTTTCCTCTACTTTTTCAGTGTGGATGTCCTCTTTTCTCTGGTAATACAAAAGTAAACACCATCCTAAATACTATAAAATCTGAATTAGAGAAGTCTGGTCAATGAAGCTTTACAGAGTTCATAATGCCTGCCTTTTACTACTTAAAAATGACTTTTAGCCATTAGGAGGGGGGAAAAATTAGAAACCAATGACCCCCTTATTTATGGTTGTCTTTTATTTTATTTATTTTGCGTAAGGGCTGTAAATGCTACACTGAGACCTTCAGTATAAATTAATGCCTGCGAAGGATTTTTTTTTTTTAACTCAGGCAGTATTCTGAGAGTTGACACAACCCAGATGATTTTTCAGGACATTCCATAATCGCAAACACCTGGAGAATGGCCGTGGGTGGTTGATGGAAATGGGAGTGTTATGTTTAAACTCAAGAGTTGCGTGTGTCTTATTAAGAAATCTGTAATCTGAAACAGGTGTTCTCTTAAAGGACCTGCCATGCGCCCTGGTCCTCCCTCAGTCCTCTTCCTCCTTCTTAGTCCTAAACTTTCCATGGATCTTAATGAAACATTTCTGCTTCCTTGTCAGTTCCTACTTCTTGGCATGTTCATATATTTGGGAGGACAGAGACCCAACACCAAAACAGGAACGAAAGAAAAGTGGCACTTGCCATGTGACATTTAAGAGCTCTTAATTAATTCTGAAGAATTACAGTACAAGACAGTAAAGTTTGTTGTTTCCTTCTGGCTGGTATTTAGAAGGTCGAGTCTGATGATCTCATTCAATGTTTCTAGGTGCAAAACTCTTTCTTGAAAGCAAAGCATTTATATTATGGATAAGACCATGTTTACTTTTAATTTCCATGGGCCTCAAATGGTGGGTTTTTTTTTTTCTATTGGTAGCTGAGTAGGAAAAAGAGAAAAACAAAACAAAAACCATGGCTTGAGGCCATGGCTGTTCAGAGAGGCCAGCAAGGAACATATCGCCTAATAGAAGCGGCTAGCAGCTCTTCAAGTATGGAAACATAATGTTCGAACCCATACAAGTAAGGACCCACGTTATTTTACAAAAATATTTTAATTACTTGGACAATCACGGAGACTGCTGGAGTGTCACCCCACTAAGCTCACCCAATCCCGGCCCCACAGAAACCTTCACAAGGGCCAAAAGGCGGTTTTAAAAAGAAAACATAACCAACACCGTTTAGGTATTCAGCCAAGTATTTTTATAAAATTTTATAAATTTTATAAAATTTTATAAAAAGGGTCCTGCCTTGCCATTTCCTGCTCCAACCCTGCCCTGGGGGGCCAATGCTGCAGGGACTGCCTCGGCACTGCCTCCTGCTGGTGGGCCCCGGCCCTGGGGAACCACTCAGGCTCTGGGGCGGGGGCTGGAAGCTAAGGCTTGCCATTTACCAGGTGTGAGATGTGGAGCCAAGTCCTTTAACGTCGTGGAGGCTCGGTTTCTTTGGGTACAGCCGGGGCCTAGGAGAGGAGCTCAGCAAGCATGTGAGTACTAAATGCGTAACGTGGACAAAGCGCCTGGCACCTAAGGGTTCAGTAAGTTCTAGAACGGGTACACGTGCCACACTTCCGCTGCCAGAGATCCCATCCTTGGGTCTTCCCTCATGCTTCCTGGAAACTATTTCTGCCGATATTGTCACAGCTCGCTTCCTCACTCCATTCAGGCTCCGTTCAAACGTCAGGGCCTAAGAGAGGACGCCCCCAGCCGATCTGTCACATGGTCCATCTATCCTTTATCCTCCTACCCTGACTTGTTTCTTCTTCCTCGATTCTTCCCAAAGGGACACTATGCCATGTAATTATTTTATTTTACTTTACTTTTATTATTTTTTTTGCCATGTAATTATTTGGTTATTCACTGTCTGTCTTCCATAAGAAAGCGTAACCTTCCCGAAGGTTCCAACCCAGCAAAGCATTAAAGAGCTACCAAATGAACACGTCATTGATGAAAACAGAGTGGCTTAGGGTGCTTAAGGTCACACCATTCATAACTGCAGAGCAAGGACTTAAATTAACATTTGGTCTTTGAAAATAAAACCAGTTCTCTCTCCCATGCTGCCTCGCCATCTTGGTGGCAGCACATGTGTTGTGAGATCTGATGGGAGTTGCTAAAACAGCCAGGACAGGGGTGCCTGGGTGGTTCAGTCGGTTAAGCATCCAACTCTTGATTTTAGCTCGGGTCATGACCTCAGGGTCATGAGATCAAACCC